CATTCAGTGGAATTTACCTCTGGATTTTTTTAAAAAAATCATAGGCTCAGCTTAACATAAATGCAATCTAAGGACATATAGGCCACTTTAGCATCAGCAGAATCAGACATAGCTCGGCTTTAACCTCCTTCGCAGCCAGCGGCCACATATTTGAAGGACCGTCTCCTCCCATACATTCCCATGTCCCAACTATGGTCATCAGGCTAACACTCTGGGTTGCCTGCCTGGTGTTGGCCAGGGTCTGACCTTCTGCATCCTGGCTCCCACACTATGAAATGTGTTCTGTGAAGAGGGGAGGGGAAGGAGGGGAGCCCACCCAAGCTTCAAAGTCAAGCTCCCTCATTTATTTATTTTATTTTTTGGAGTGCTGCAAGCAGGGGTCATTTGGGGGGGGGACGCGGGGGGACGCCATCCCCCCGGGTGAGGTGCGGGAGGGTGGGGCCTGGAGCTCCCTGCTGGTGCCTGCTGGAGGTCGCCGCCGGCTGTGGGAAGGACACACTTCCAGTGATGTCAAGGGGTGTGGCATATGCTAATGAGTTATGCTAATGAGTCCCCCTAGCTCTTTTTCTACGAAATGACCCCTGGCTGCAAGGCTTTCTCGTTTGCCAGGGATTTAAAAAAAACAACAACACCTAGCACTGTGGCAGTGCTGGTTTACAGCATGTTTCACATACCTCAAACCAAAATCCTTGCATTACCTTTTTATTAAGGCTAATAAAAAGTCACAAAACAGTGTGCTAGCTTTCAAGTTCTCCAGAACTCCTTTATCAGGTTGGATATTAATTTTTTTGAAAAGGTGGTTTCAGGTATTTGACATGGATTTTGTTTTGGACCAATGTGGCTGCTTTATCTGGATGCAATTCTTGCAGCAGCCTTGTAACGCAGGTTAATATTACTATTCCTGTAACCAACACACTAGAACTATCTATTCAGGTGGGGTAGCCATCAGTGTTCCCTCTAAGCTGAGTTAGTGTGAGCTAGCTCAGTTTTTTAGCCTCCGGCTCACACATTTTTGTCTTCACTCAGGAAGGATGGCTCCAGAGCAAGCTAATTTATGCAACAGCCAAATCACTGGCTCACAACTTCAATGCCAGTAGCTCACAAAGTAGACTTTTTGCTCACAAGACTCCACAGCTTAGAGGGAACATTGGTAGCCATGTTGGTCTGAAGCAGCAGAACAACGTTTGAGTCCAGCGGCACCTTTAAGACCAACAAAGTTTGATTCAACCTATGAACTTGCGTGTGAGGAAGTGTGCGTGCACAGGAAAGCTCATATCTTAAGTAAAACTTTGTTGGTCTAAGGTGCCACTGGACTCAAATGTTGTTCTAGAGCTACCTAGAGGGCTAGATCTGAATTGGATCCTTCCAAGAACACAGCTCATTCTCTCAGCCATTATGCCGCAGCACACTGGGCAGTGTTTAGCTCTCCCACCCACCTGCAGCCACCGAGCCAATGTTCCCTCTAAGCTGTGGCGTCTTGTGAGCAAAACTTCTACTTTGTGAGCTACTGGCTTTAAAGTTGTGAGCAGGGCCGGCTCACTCAGTAGGCGAACTAGGCGCTTGCCTAGAGCGCGCCAGCCCTTAGGGGCACCAAACTGGCAC